TGCATCTTGAACATTGAGGGCTCATTAGGGTAGTGTCATTTAACAGAGAGCGAGCGAGCGAGCGAGCGAGCGAGCGAGCGAGAGCGGGTGGGGGGGGAAAGAGAGCAAGGGATGTTGCAGAAGAGAGAGATCACGGAAGTCAGAAAGGGGGCGGGGCGAGGGTTCTCGGTCCACGGATAGTGTTTTTCGTGAAGGCGGAATCGGAATAACCCAGGCCATGGACCCCTGGTTCAATGAGGAGACGCACAAGCAATATGAGGAGGCAGGGCACGGCCAACAGTGCAGAGTATGGGCGACTTCTTCTCTTCTGTCGATCATCAGCCTCTCCCAGCACATGCTCGGCATCCTTTCCTGAGCTGCTGCCACCTTCGCCATTTCACTAGCCCGTGCCGCTGCTTATGACTTACCACTGGCACGACCCCTACGACGTGGAGAACGACGACGACGGCGATACAAAAAGTCATGTACTCAAGTCAGAGAGAGACACAGAAACGGATCGTGCAAACAAAACCTCATAGCAAAGCAATACATCCCCGACCCGGCGTCCTCTAAGGATCCCTGCGCTACTGACTACCTTACTGTTAGTCCCTCACAGAAAGCGCAGGACGACATCTTCGATGCACTGGATGATCCTGCCCTCAAGATACAGAGCCTTCGGCGGCAGGATTTTGAACTTGCGGCTTTCATGCCCGGGAGTTGACATCTGTGTGACAGTGACTTCGCCATAAACGACAACGCCACGTGTCTTGCGAGCTGAACCAATCAAGTACCAAGCAAATCACCGAAGTCGGACTGAACCCAGGTACTACGAGCGACGCTGGTCTCTTAAGGAACCGGGCGTTCGGAACCTGGTACAGCTCCTCTGCTGATTTAAATTGTTTCTTTACCTAGCTGCGTTGTCGCCCAAACTCGCAATCCCGATCTTGAGCTTTTGTTGTCGGACAGAGATCAAGAGCTGTCTGTCTGTACCCAGAGTCCAAAACTGCGGCTGAAGGGCGGGAGGAAAAGACGGCTCAGGATTTATGGGTTGTTGTTGCGGGGCAGGTTCGAAATGTCACCAGAGGGCAAACAAGAAACATGGTTTCTGCGGACGGACAGGGGGGGGAGAGCACAAGACAGCATAGACTTTGTAAGCCTTCAAAGTATGAAGCTAGCTCCAAAGCTCACCAGTACCCCTATGTAGCAGGCATTAGCACCCTCGACAAGCCTGTGACTTCGCCCCCCCATACAAAGCTCTAACGCGAATTCAGGTTTCAACAGGTTCTAGACTTTAAGCTGCATATGAAGGTCCCTTGAGCTCGAGCCGGTGCAGTCTTCCCGTCACCAGGTCGACAGCAAAAAACCGTGTTCAATTCAGCCCCTAAGCTTCGTCAAAGGCAGAAAACGAACAGGTCGAACCTGCATGATTTGTGTGCAACCAGGGACCCCGCTCCAAACCACACGGAGCTCCTTCTTGAAGCCCTGTGTTTGTTCTTGTTGCCGGAGGACAACACAAAGACCAGGTATGTTGGTTCACCGGGATGCCCACTTTCTTGTCCTTCTCCTTCTTCGTGTTTCCCCCCTTCTCTGATGTCTTATTGTTGGTGTTTCTGTCAGTGTTATTCCATGAGTTCCATGCAATCGGACGGACTTGTTCAGGCGAGCCCTTTTGGGAGTGCTTCCAGGCTTAGCGATCCACCGTCAACGACGTTCGAAATGATATTGTAGAACCTATCTTTTGCAACATTCAATCCGCTTTCCTTAGTTGCAACATCTTCATCCGTAAAGGCATATCGCCGGCAAGTTGCCAAACCAGATGGCAAAGCTTCCTTGAACAAGAGGAGTTCTTCGACTGGCCTCTATAAGGGATGCTCAAACTCTAAACCTTGAACCCTCGTAGCATTGCTCCGGACATGTACGAGTGTGAATGCCAAGACAAGCCTCCGATCCAAGTTTTAAGCCGAAAATCCGCCAACTCCAAAAAGGGAGTTTAAGGTACCTCAAGGAACCGCGGACGTAAATCCCAAGCCCAAGCCGTAAGACCTTCAGGCAAACCATCCTAAACCCTGTGCCCGGAACATCCCTGATCCCTAAACCCTAAATCCCAAAGCCGAAACCCTAAATCCCAAACCCGAAACCCTACATAAATCCCAAACCCGAAACCCTAAATCCCAAACCCGAAACCCTAAATCCCAAACCCGAAACCCTAAATCCCAAACCCGAAACCCTAAATCCCAAGCCCGAAACCCCAAATCCCAAACCCGAAACTCTACATAAATCCCAAACCCGAAACCCTAAATCCCAAACCCGAAACCCTACATAAATCCCAAACCCGAAACCCTAAATCCCAAACCCCAGGTCCTTGCTGGTCGTGGACCCAGCGAAGCGCCCGAAGGCCAAGGATGCCGTGGGCTGAGCGCAGCAACGCAGCTTTTGCCCTTTTGGAGGGTATGTGTGTATATAAGGTACTATAGTATATTGAAGTATTTTCATGTCACAATATACTAAACTCTAATACAGAATGTCATGTAATGTGAAATTATTTTGTATTGTATTCTGCTAAGTTATACTGCATTTTTTCATTGTCTGAATGTACACTGCGTTACGTTATGTTATATTGTATGACCTTATATCATATCATGTTATGTTATATCATAATCATGTTATCTTATATTATGATATACTATATTGTTTTACATTATATTACATTTTTTTATATTTGGTCATTTTATTTTTATACTATATTATACTGTATTATATTGCGTTTTATCATATTATTACATATTATTTTGTTTTATGTTATCCCACATCATATATACTATGTGTTATCATATGATCTCACAAGTTATGATGTTACATTATATGGTCTCACATGTGTATATACACTGCTTAGCAAGGTAGATTTAGAACAGCAAGTAGATACATGAATGGATATCAATATGAACCAGAAAAAGGCCTGATTGACTGATTGACTGACTGGCCGGTCGGCCGGCCGACCGACTGATTGACTGGCTGACTGCCAAGCTAGCCGGCGAGCTAATTGGCTAACTTCGGAACAAACAGGTATTACCTCTACAAATAATCATGTAAATTGAGGCAACACATTCCTATAGCTACAAATGTAAGCATACATATTTGTGCATGTGCGTATGCGCAATATAGATTGAGATGAGCATAAACTGTTGGTGGGGTTCAGGTGGTAGCCCAACTTATTCTCGGCGTTGGATTCACATAATCTGTTCAGAGATTTAAAAGTTTCTGGGCAGATGATTTGGGGCGGATTGGCAGCCCGTCTTTTGTGACCTCTCTCTCTACCACAGGCTCGCCCAGGTCGTCTTTCTTTGGGTTCCGCATCCTCTGCGAATCTGCGAGAGTCAGTTCTGCTTACCACCATTTGCAGAGTCATCTTGACGTGCTAGCTGCTAGCATTGAGACGCAGAATGTCAGCAGCAACTGTAAGCACAGGATCAGAGTAGTGAAAAGCAGTATCAGTACCAGCAAGCAAGCAAGGTGGCACTGACATTTCTTTTCGTTCAGCGGGTGCTAGACGACCCAGGTGTTGCAGATCGAAGTTGTAAGCCCGTGGTTGCAGTTTGGCGCCATGGCCGCGGAGGACGGTGGCTACGAGCTTTTCGTGAAATCTGAGCTTGAGAAGCTCTGTGATAAATTGGTGCAGAAGTACCAGGTCGATGTCCGGCACGCAAGTGAGAAGTCCAGGGATCAAGTCGTCTTGCCGCCGAACCTGCAGCCCATCTCGCATTCGGCGAGTGGTGTCATTAGCACTGCGAGTATCAAATCGAAGATCGCTGATGATCCGTGTCAGCCTGATCGGCTTGACTTCTCCACTGCATATAGCATGGGCTCCCTGAACTCCCTCTCCTCACTGGACTTGGGGGGTGGCTCGAAACAAGCTGTTGTGCACCACAACTGGGCTGTGATGACCGCGAAGCTCATGGACAGATTCCTGATCCCGGAGTCCGAGAGCGAGGAAGAAGATGTCACATCTTATGTGAAAGAGGACATACTGGCGCTTCGGGCTCCGTGGAAGACTTCGCTGCGACAGCATGCCTTAAAGCGGGAGAAGGCTGACAATGTCAAGTCGCCCTTGCTTCGGCGCCAGACACATCGCATGAAAGACGCAGCCATGGACGGCTCGTGCCTTGAACCGCTGGTGAGAAGGCCTAGTAGCAAGATTCAGATTCTAGATCCAGCAGTAGTACCCTTTTGCCCTTTGTTACATGTGGTGTTTCCTTGCTGGACTGAACCTTGGGCGAACAGGTGCCCATATGCCTACCTTTCTGTGTTTTTTTCCACAGGTTACTGGAGAACCTAGGATTACTTGGTCGCTCGTCGGTGTCCTCTTCATCGTCTGGGACATGATAACCATCCCTCTGGAGCTCTTCGACAACGAGCAATTGAGCTCCTTGCTCTTGGTGGTGAGGAGGGTCTCTTTCGGATACTGGCTTCTTGGCATGCCACTTCACGCCGTCTTTGGCATTGAGATTGACGGACATCTTGAAATGCGCCCGCGGGTGCTTCTCAAAAGGTACTGGCGGTCCTGGTTCGGTGTCGGCTTGATGGTGATCGGCATCGACGCGGGGTTGATGCTTGTCGAGTTGTTGTCAGACAGCGTACCGGCAGGAGCACGATCTGCTCGATTCCTTCGCATATTGCGGCTCTTGCGGCTTCTACGTCTGCTGCGTGTGGCGAAGCTGCAACGTGAGCTGACGAAACTTGCCAATAATTTCCCTTCCACCTATGCCTTCATGGTGATGCGGATCGTATCTGGACTGCTCATGATTCTGACAGTGAACCACATCATCGCATGTTGCTGGTTCGGCCTCGGGCGCTGGACTCTCCTCGAAGATGGCAGCAGCTGGCTCCTCGACGCGGGCATCGCAGACGCAGGCCTTGCCGATTCGTACGCCAGCATCCAGCTGAGCGACCTCCACGTGGTGGATGCGGGGCCTCGGATGCTGTTTGCAATGCACTCCGAGGCAGCGGATTGCTCAGCAATGGAAGTGATCAAGCCACTCGTGTTCTGCTGTCATGGGTGGTGTCTTGATCGAGTGTCACGCAACAAGTTGGCACATGCTGTGAATGGAAATGGAGGGGGCAGTCGAAGGACAGCCCGCTTGCGCGAACAATCACAGTTCGCACAGTTGGGGCAGCTGCAGCAACTGTTACAGCTGCTTTCCCAGTTGATGGAATTGCTCAGGGGAGGGCAATTAGGTCAATTGGCAGGCCTCCTACCGCAGGGCCTCATTAGCTCTCTGGGAGGCCCCTTGAAGAAAAAGAAAAAGAAGAAAAAGCTGATCAGGCCACGGGTCCCTGCACTGCATACGCTGCTGCCCCCGTTGGGCCTGTGAGAGCGCCGCATGTGGGCGCTAGCAATCCGAATGCTACTAAGCCTGCTAGTTACGCTGATGCTCTGTTGCATGGCGTGGATGGCAAGGGTGGCGCCGCAGCTGCTCCCAAAGGAAAAGGCAAGGGCCAAGCACTGTCCCAGTCCACCGGGGACGGCAAGGGCCCGACGAAGGGCTCAGGCAAAGGCAAACCAACCAGTGATTGGAAGCAAGCCTGGGTTCTGCGCGAGAATGATTGGACTGCCCCAGTTATGTCTTTGGATGACTTAAGCCGCAAGCTTGATGCAAAGTCTGCTGATAGCATCAGTGCGGTCGTTCACTTGCGTGACGATTTGGAGGCGGAGGAGTTGTCTATCCTCGTCGGTGGTGAAGAGGAGGGCAGCTCACGAGCTGTCAATGTGACGGCGGTCTTACTGGTGCCTAAGGGCTCTTTGGAAGAGCATGCCCCGCCGAAGCGCGAGGGCCTGCAAACCCACTTTGTTGCGGGTAAGCTTGCCAACAAGCTGGCACCACGCCTTGTGCAAGTTTGGCCGGTGTGCGGTACGTCACCGCCTAAGCTCAAGAAGCCCAAACAGGTTAGTCCCGACAAGCCGACTGCTCCCAACACGGTCGTCGTTAGAGCGAGCACCGAGGCGAAGTTCTTCGACGACAGCGCTTGGACCAAGTTGCACAGCAAGCCAGCCGTGGCTTTGCAACACTGGCTTGCTAACGAAGTCCCTCAGGAAGTGTCAAAGAAGTTCTTTGACATGTGGGGATGGGGTGAGCAAGGTGATGGAGCCAAGTCCGTCATCACCGGGCTCATGCGGATCGAAGAATCCGTGCTACTGCCGCTGCTCACGTGTTCCGGCAGAAAAGCGCGGTTCGTCCAGCCTCTCAAGTGGGCTACCCCCTGTAGTGTTCAGTGGGTCAAGCAAAACAAGCAGGAGTCGAACAAAGAATACTGTGCCAGAGTTTCCAGCATGGCCAGTACCCTTGGTGTTGCGCGAGGTCTCCGTAGCCTTGGCGTGCGTCAGCCGCAGTCCTCCAACGAGGTTAACAAGGAACGGTTTTGGAAGGTCGCTGGGGTTCCCCGGGAATGGGGAGTTGAAGTTGTGCAACAACAACTCCAGCTGCTTGGCCTCTCCGACGTGCAGGAGCGCAGCCGTAAGACGCGAGGCAAATGCACTGACTGGTGGTTTCGTGCCAGTACTCCACACGGAGTCGACTTCTTCGAGCTTGAGGTCGACAAACATACCCTTGTCGCTTGTGTCGTCGACCCGAGCGCCACAAGACAAAGGAAGGTCCGCCCTCTTCACCAGAACTCCAGACTTACCTTTCCAGGCAGCAAAGAGTTCCCCAAGCTGCAGCCACCTGCTTCAGTTCCGCCGCCCGCCAACGAAGGTGCCCCTGCCGCTGCGACCGAGCACCCGGACGGTGCCTCAGGTGACCCACTTAAAACACAGCTCGACCAGGATGAAGACACCAACATGCCTGTCGACGCCGAAGGAGGTGAAGCCGGAGGCCAGAAGCGCACTGCTTCTCAAGCGCAACTGAGCCCGCAAAAGCCGCAGCCACCCGCCGCGCGCCCGCCTCACGGACTGCAGATCCGTCCCAACACCGGGGCTGGAAACTGTCTGTTTGAAGCCCTCGGCCAAGGTATCGACAAAGCTTCTCGTGCTGTTAGAGCTGCCGTCGTTCGGCACCTTGAGACTCACTCCGACCGCTACCAGCCGTGGTGGGACGGCAAGCTGCCTGCCAAAGGGGAGAAGCCGTGTGCCGACTGGAAGGACTACACTAAGCTTCTCGCCACAGACGGGGCTTGGGGGTCCAACCTGGAAGTTACGGCAGCTGCTGTGCACTACGACCGCCCAATAGCTGTTTTCCATGCCAAAGGAGGTGCCGGTCCCCACGTCTTCAACGCCACTGGCAAGAACCAACCGCTAGCCCTGTGGTTCACCGGTGCCCACTACGAGCTTTTGGAGGGCTCTCTGCCCAACCACGTGCTGTCTTCTTTCTACACCACCAAAGGACCGCTCAGCGGATCGAGGCCGAGGTGGTA